ATACTTAACAAGTTTTTTCCATTTGGATTGCTTTGTAGTAGCAATTTTGAAGTTACTTGAGCGGCAAGATGATTGTTGTTGGCTTACCATGACCAATAAAACATATAAGAGCTTCGTTAAAGCATTTGAGAGTTCATTGAAGGTCATTAATTGCTAATGCTCTTGAATTTCGAAAGGTTCAACCAAATAACCAACTATCATAGTTCATTTATAATAGCATGTTGAAGATTGACAAGTGACAAGTTCCACTAACTTCAACATAATTTCATCTTAAAGCTTTTGTTTATGAAAATAAAATTCATAGTTTGGAGGGACAGAAAGTTAAAAATTCGTGTTCATTTTTGAACCACATGTGACTAAAAAGTGGAATCTAAAAAATAAACTGTTCTGTAAAATAGTCTATAAGATTTTACGAGTAAGAAAACAAGATCTTAAACAAAGAGACCAGGAATCGCTTAGCTTACTAAGGCTTACTTTGATAACTTTGTGTCGTACACGGTAGTTTCATGAAGTAAAATTGCAACTAATCTCATATAAATTATTATGTATTCCATAAGGGCATTCTCTATGATGATCAAGCTACAAAGAGGGTGCACAAAGAGGGTATGGATGTTCTACACATTTTACAGAAAAATCAAACATTCTTAACATACAATGCAATCTAAAAATTTGAAGGTAAAAAACCATATGCCCAATCTATTGTATGCCATTCTAAAGGGCTTCCACTTAATTTGTAATTCAAACAATAAGGATCATATTGCTTAAAATCAAAGTAGCTGAGAGCATGAAAAAACTGATTCAAACAACATAAATCAGTTAAACCTAGTTTATAACTAGCTCAAAGGAAAGGAGTGATACCTTCATGGCCGGATGCCCGAATAAAATAATCTTGATGCAAAATCATCCAATGATTAGAAAAAATAATGTTATGGTAAACAAAACTTTTTTCATGATTTATTGTCAAATTCAAAACAAATTAATGCAAAAAACTTGCCAAGTTATAAAAGTCATTATCAACAAAGTAGAAATTAACTACAGAAAAAAGCATACACCAAAAGGATATGGGCATAAATGTATAGTAAAAGCATACACCAAGGTACATCCTCTTATAAATGTATAGTAAATGCATCCATACTTACAGCAAAAAGATATGGGTTTAAAGCCAATCCCTAATGTAATCCAACTGAAATATAAAAATACATGGTCGATACTATTTCTACAAGAAACACATATTTTTAATGAGTTAAATGTAGATCATATCAACAACTTTCTTTCCTAGAACTCTCCAATGAACTTTTCTTGGAACCTTATCGTAAGCTTTTTCTAAATCAATTCTAAATCAATAAAAATCAAACGTAGATCCTCCTTACTCTCTTTGTACTTCTTCATCAAACCTCTCAATGAATATATAGCTTCCATAGTAGACTTGCCCAGCCAAAATCCAAACTGATTATGAGAAATTTTTGTATATTGTCTTAACATATGTTCAATTACTCCATCCCGTAATTTTAATATATGACACATTAACTAAATTCTTCTATAATTTGCACACCCTTGTGCATCTACATTATTCATAAAACTGGAAACCAAAATACTCTTCCTCCACTCCTCGGGCATCTTTTTCATTTTTAAAATAATATTAAAGAATTTATGAAGCCAAGAAACTCCCAAATCTCCTATGACTTCCCTCATTGGTTTTCTTTAAAGTCATTTCAACTTCCATTTTACTAATGCGATGGTAAAAAAAAAATTATTATTATTAATAATATTAAGATCACTAAGGTCGGTCGTAAAACTTCATTGAAAATTTTTATCAAAATATCTCACCCACCTATGTTAAATATTTTTCTCTAAGAAAAACACATTTTGATTTTCATTTTTAATGCACCTTGAATTAGATCTTTTCATTTATTTTCTCTTTGTTTCGTTAGTTTCTACATATATTTTTCACAATTTTTAATATCTAAACTATTACAAAAATCACTAAATGCATAATTCTTAGCGCCAAAAATAATTCTTTTAGACTTCTAATAGGTCGTAAAACTTCATTGAAAAATTTTATCAAAATATCTCACCAGCCTATGTTAAAGATTTTTCTCTAAAAAACACATTTTGATTTTCATTTTTAATACAACTTACTTGAATTAAATCTTTACATTTATTTTCTCTTTGTTTTGCTAGTTTATACATATATTTGTTACCATTTTAATATCTAAATTATTATAAAAATCACTAAATGCAGAATCCTTAGTGCCAAAAATAATTTTGTTAGATTCCTTATATGCTACCTTATATTTTTCCCAGTTCTCTAAGCTCTTAAATTTAAACAAATTTTTATAATAAAATATTTTATATTTTATCTTTTCTTACACATTATTATTTCACCACCAATTATTTTTATTTATAAAAATTTTTCCTTTTGATTTTTCAAGCACATCTTTTGTCACTTATCTAATAGTGTTTATTATTTTATCTCATATAGAATTAATTTCTTTAGAACATCTTAAATCTAAAATTCTTGAAAGTTACTCATAAAAATAGATTTAGTTGTACCTTTTTGGTTCCCTCATCTAATTCTATGACAATTCTTCATTGTATTTTTTTATCTTTCAACTTCCCATCTTAAATTCCAAAACTAATAATCGATATTAATTATTTAAATTTTAACTTGGAATGACCTTACAATCTTTTCATTTTCGACAATCTCCTTCTCTCATAAGAAAATCAATTTGTATTTTATTAGATTCATTCTTATAAGTAATAATATTCTCATCACTTTTCTTAAATAAAATTTTAGCAATAACAAAATCATAAGTTAAAACAAAATCTAATATGGCTCTACATTCTTCATTCATTACTCCAAAACTGCAGTTACCGTGAATATTTTTAAAATCTTCTGTCACTCTGCAATAGATTTAAATCGTCTCCAATAAAAATTCTTTCTTCAAAAGGTATCATTTGTATTAATCATTTTAGGTATTCCAAAATTTTTCTTTTGAGTCTATATCTAAACCAACTTGAGAAACATAAGCACTTATAACATTAAAAATCTCAGTATCAACAATAATATTAAAGACTATAATTTTATCTAATTCTATTAATTTTTACATCATTATGTTTTAATCTCTTATCTGTAATTACAACACTATTTCTAATGTGACACATACCAAAATACCAAAATTTAAAATCTAAGTTATCAATCTCCTTAGTTTTTTCTTCGACCCATTTAATTCCTTGAATGCATAAGATATTGTATCTTCCTATGAATCATAATATCGACTAATTCCATTAATTTAACTATGAGAATACATATATTTCAAGATCTTATCCAGATATTAGTTTTATGGATTAGCTTTTTTGTTCGTATACATCCATAATGTGAAAACTCTTGCTTATTTGACAGTATATTAGGGCGTCGTTGTAGCGGTCATTACACACTTTTCATTTATTCAGACCATAAATCATGTCAGTTGCAGAGGACACCCTAGCATTTGCACAATGTTTTACAAGACTCATGTCATGATTTTTGGACACAAATTTTACGTTGGTTGTCGACTACCTAACACAACCCTCCAATTTTCGCATTAGGGGTTTCGGACCCGACAATGGCAGTGTTTATTGTTGATATTGAGATAATATGGTATTTAACTAATGCAAGCCTCCACTTTTCGCTTCCAAAGGATGCCATAGCTTTAAAGCTCGTGACAAAATAAAGAAAAAAACTAAAAAAAAAAAAGTTCACAATCTTCAAAGTAGCTTGCCATAAAACTAGATAGTTTGGTATCTAATTGTAATACAAAAAAAAAAAAAAAAAATTCAATAAATGATGTTGGAGGATAGCTACGCTAAGCTCAACCTTTTATGAAAGAGGACATCATGTCAAGCAAAAAAATATGAACAAAGAAAAGTATTTTCAAGTAAAAGTCTTCACTACAAAGCTATTGCAGATGGTATGTTGTAATATGAAGCCCAACAAAAAAAACAAATGGCATCTCTAGTCACAACAAGTCACTTATCAATTGCTAAAAAAAAAGATGTTATAGTTAAATTATATATATATACATATATATATATATATATATATATTATATATATAACATAGATATATAGCCTAGACTAGAATTGGAATAGTTGATAAAATGCTAAACAACTTGTTGTAGCTAATTTTAAAATATGCAACTTTAAAGTATGTATTATATCCCACAATAGTTGAGTACAGCTAATGTTGCTTCTGTAGTAGATAATGATGATGCTCCAATATTCTCTAAATGATATGACCCTTAATTTTTGGCAGACAGCACCATAAGGAGCGGTGAATCCAAAATTTTGGAATTGGGAACAAGAGCAATGGGAAAACATTGCTCAAATTTCTAGTGATGAATTCATATAAAACTTAATAGTGCATTAAATATATTATATCACATTAAAAACTTGACATCCAAACATGACCACATAGTGAGTGGGAGATAATAGATTATGACAAAAGGAGGGTCTAACTGTTCAACTAACTAAGGATTCCAAGTTAAGTCAACCCAAATTCAAATGTATAAAATCTAGAAACCATTTGATTTAACTAATATTGGTATCACCTAATATTTTGGCAGGAAATAAAAAAGACATTAATATCACTTGCAGGTTTTTCTCTCTTTTTGGACTTCCTGCAAATTTAATCTCAAACTCAAGACCTCTATCATAGGTAGGATCTAATCTCCCAACAAGTAAGCTAAGGCAAGCTACGTTATCGTTACACTATAAATAACAAATAATGATATTTCAAGTATCTGCAAGTTTTAGTAATGAAGAAATGCACCAAAAGATATTCCTTCACATCAATGGCATGCTATACCAAATTACTTAAAGACCGGCATTCGCATCCTAAAATGAAGGGTTATGTTTATATAAGCATCCCATTTGATGCTGTAAACACCTAGGGCATGAATCTGTGCCAAAACCTTTTCGTAATATTCCAATTAAAAAATAAATAATTAATAAAAAGTCACCTGACACCCGCATCACCGACTATCCCAATTGCCATGCCCGCCGAGAGGCCCGCAAGCCCACAAGCCAAGCCCGAGGAAAGATGGGCGTATCCATCAAAGAGGTAGTAGGACTTGGCCTTAGGGTTTATACCAGTACTGATAATGACGGCTATGATGAGTCCGTAGATGCCGAGCACACCGGCCATAACTACCGGCACGATCGACTTCATCACTAACTCGGGCCTCATAACCCCCATGGAAGCCACGCCCACGCCGCTCTTCGCCGTGCCGTACGCCGCCCCCATGCCTGCAAGGAATAAACCAGGCGTTTGGATCCGGATCGGAGATAAAGAACGGGGAAGCAAAGATGCTAGACGTTGGAGTTACAGGAGAAAACAAGGGCAGCCGCGGCGCCCAAGAATCCAAAGAAGGGGGCAGTTTCGTCGCCGCTGAAGCCCACCATATTTGATATCGATCGCAACCGGAGACCTGAACGACAACCGAAAGCTCTTCTGCTTCTAGCCCTGATGAAATCTGGCTCAAGAACAGGAGTTTGGAATTAGGATATATATATATATATATATATATATATATATATA